TTAAATGAATGTGACCTTTTCTCATATCTTAACAGCACATAAAGTTGCTGTGATTTAAAGGAACTCTATGCAATATTCAGAGCATTCATAAAGCAGCAATCCAGTGTTTGCTCTGTAAAAATATAGTGGAGTAATGGTGTTCTGAGCAGAGAATGAAGTCTTCTGTGTGTGTTGCAATATCAGCTTCTCTGTTGTGGTAGGCGGTCCAGTTGCTCATGCATGTTAGTGCATGTGAGTTCAGTGTGTGTATCTACTGGCTAGCCGCTCTGCACTGCACTCATATCATGGTTAATGCTAATATCGGGATGCCGTCATTACAGAGGTGTAACGCCAACCCTCAGCCTGTTTGGTGGGTTTTCTATGCCACAGTTTTAAGTTTCTGTGAAGTGCAGTAAAATTTGATTGATGCAACTAACACACATAGAACACACATAAAACATGGCTTAACAGCAACAAAATTAAACCACAGTATAACTCACATGTTTCACTGATAAACGTCATGCTAACATCATTAGCATTACCCTATGACATTTCCAATTGCATAAATTAGCCTAGCAGCTAGCAGACTTTTTCTCTACTCATATGAATCTGTGAAATGGCATACAAGACTTAAAATCCTATTTTGCAGGGGCTTCATTTTCTTCACAATTTATTGTTTCTTATCTGTGAAATGAAAGTAAATAAAAGCTTTGTTTCCACTGAGGGAAATGGTTTTCACTTTACTAAAATAAACAGGACATCTGTGTCTTTGCAATGTGTAGTTACATTTCTGGTAGTCTCTATATACAGACTCTACATTCAGTGAATGTAGAGTCTGTAGGCAAACCCCGGAGATCTTGCCTCCGGAAGAAGAGCGGAAGAGCCCTGGTTTCCGGTTGTATGCTGTTTGTTGTCCGCGTGATATTGACCAATCACGTTTGAGCTGGCTGCAGTTGTTGCCAGGTTAAACGGTCCGTGCGGTCAACTAACGAGGCGGAATCTAATTGGCGTCACTGCAAACTCTGAATCCATCGCAATGGTTCAGCATATTTACTTATATATAAACGGAAGACGGAAACAGAAATACGCCTCCTCCGCACAAATCAAACTGGAATGCCAAAAAATCGGGGGTCTGCCCCCAGAGGCTGTATCGCCGTCTGCCGGAAGTCAGCCGCCGAATACAGCGGATGGGTTTCGAGAATGCATTTCTGGGGAGGTACACGTCAGGCTATGGAGTAGGATACACATCTATGCAGAGCCTACATCGTAGGTACATCATTGATTCAAGGCAGAAGTATTAACCCAGCTGTTAGCTCTGTCAGTACTGTTGCCGTTGTTAGCACTGTTCACATTGTTAGCGTCATTCGCTATTAGCTGCTAGTCAAGCACCTCTAGCTGAGAGCCCTGTGCAGACAACCTCTGAATATTAGATTTGTTATGAATATCATATAGATCTCCTTTAAAATAGTCTGCATGGAATCTGCTGCTTGTACAACACCAGATAACCTGTTGTTAACTTAGAAAACTGACCTGTTAATAATACAACAGCATCTAAAGGCTTCATGTCTCACATTGTCAGTCATTTCCTGGTGTCACATTTTCCTTGTCTGTTTTTTCCCCTGCCATGTACCAACTTTCTCTCGTAGTTTCAGATCCTGCCACTCTCACCTGCCCTGCAGTAACCCCTGTGTTCCAGGCTTTTCCAATCGTATGTGATTCCCCACCTGCACACCTGTTCCCACTTACCCAGCAGCCCAGTAGCATATATACTGTTCCACTTCTATTCATTCCCCACCGCATCATCTATTGTGCTTCTGCTTTAGTGTTCCAGCCTTTTTCTAGGGCTGCTTGGTTTTGACTTTCGCCATTTTTTGACCTCCAGTAAACTTTTTATTTTACCAGCCTGGTCTCAAGAGTCGTGCTTTTAGGGTCAAACCTGTTTTTAAAGAGCCTTTACATCATCTCACGCTGACATCAGAGATGCCTTTTAGGGAGAATCTTTTCGAATACTGCAGACAACACACAGACTGTGTATAATGTGACCGTGGTAAAAAAAAAAAAACAAAAAAAAAAACAGTGCTCACCTCTGTCATCCTTTTGTGAAAGAGGCCGCGGTATTTGCAGAAGGGGTGATAAAGCACAAACCTCCTACTTGTCAAGGTTAATTCCCCAGCTCCCAGATACCAGACAGGGCGGCAGTGAATTAGAGAAGGCAAACTTTGTACAATTAGAGGACGAACTGTGTACCATACTTTACTCTATGTTTGTAAGACTAGAAGACCTCTCTAAATAGATAAGGGCATGTGTCAGTGCATGAAGCAAAATACAAGAACATAATGTGATTGCATAAATAATCCTTTAAAATGCATAAAAGCAAAATAATAATTGCTATGATTAAACCACAACATAAGTGTGAATTTTGTGATTGAAATAGAAATTTTGCACTTTTTTCCCACCCTGGCAGGTTGAAACAGACTGCCTCCATAATTGAGTAGATTAATGGTGGCAGCTGTGGAGAATGTAATACAGCACTGACGGCAACATAGGGGTTGATTAGACATTGGAGGTGTGAAATAGCGAAAGGCAAAAAACTATAAAGACCTAGACGGAGAGAATGACCGAAGCAGCCCACCAGTGTGGTTGCTTGGTTTGTCTTGAAAGCTCCGGAGCCAAATGATGAAAAGAGTGAAATTAAAGGCACATGATGAAAGACTTCTATGGCCATCAAAAGGAGAAAAAAACGTTTGCGACAACATGACTCCTGATTTATTGATTTCCCAGCTCAATTTTTTCATCCAGGGTGCTTCGAAAGAGCAAAGCAATCTATGAGTTTGTTGGCTGTTATTATATTCCCTTGGCAAATGGACACTCTCCACAAACACACACACACATACGCACGCAAACACACTGGAGTGCAACCCAGTGCACAAACACATGGAGCTCCCAGTGGGGCGGAGTTTTTAATCCTCAAATACACTGCCATAAATCAAACCCCACTCCCTCATGCCCCAGCTCGTCTCTCTCAATGAAAAGCTCAAGCCAGTGGCACATTAATAGCAATTTACAGGGCCAGCCATGCAAGGAGAGGAGCATCAACATAGCGTCCTTTATTTTGTAATTCCTTATTACTTTCACTCACTACACGGATGCTGAATTGGTAAAGAGAAGAGGATGAGACCTACCTACTTACTCCCTCTGAATGGATGTCATTCATGTTATACCTTTACCAGGAACCCTCAATCTTGCAATCGGAATTATCTTCTATCAGAGAAATGGCACATTTAAAATATATAAATGTATTTCAAAACACATTCTTTGGTACTGTCTTGCTCTACATTGACTTTGTATTGCATGAAGGTGCATCCTTGTCACTTCCAGTCTGCTAGCAGGAAAATACCTAAAAGCTGCCGTGTGCTGGGGTGCACTACCAGCAGGGTAACACACCCAGAACTAAGTTTTAATGCTGCCAAACCAAAAACCTGAGCCTTGAAGAAGACAGAAGTGCATTGGGCCGGGGTTGCCAACTATCACACTTCTGGCTTGTGACACACATTCACCTTTAGCACCTAATAATTCTCCCCTTTTAGTGGTTAATTGTCACTTAAGAAGACAGCAGTGTTGTAATTTTCTATCGTCTTTTTTATCGTCAGTGAACAAAGCAAAGGCAAGATGAGACCAATCTGAGAGGGTTAACAGGGAGATATGTGGAAACAATCAATACTGTCACAATGTTTTGTTTTTTTCTAATACAAAGAAAGCAATAACTTAATTTTTCCCCTAAAAAGTTTTTAGGGAAGTCAGGTACTTTCTTCCTGGGTGACAAATGAGTGTATTGCAGTTACTGTACTCTTTAGATTGTGTCCCAAACACATCGAATGAACTGCACAGTAATATTGATCTGACCCAACATCCTCTTTCAGAAGTCACATTACACAACATTATGTGTGGCTCCAAAAAACACTAAAACAGTAAATGACTCATTCATTTTACTATATGTGAAAATCAAAACTCTGTGTGCAAATGCACTTTCTTAAACCGGACAGACAGACAGACAGACAGACAGCAGATGATATAGAAGTGAACAGTGCAGGCACTACACTGCATTAACTGTATGTTTGAGTGAAGAAAAACCCATTTAATGATCCATTAAACTAATATCAACATACAGTTTTTTCAAGTTAAACTAACTAACTAAAGCTGTCAAATTAAGTAGAACAGAAAGAAACACAATATGCGCCTAAAGTTGCGTAAAATGGAAATGATCATGTAAAGTACAAGTACCTTAAAAATGCACTTCAGTAGGCCTACAGTATACTTAAGTCGATGTACTTAGTTATATTGCACTGTTAACATGAATACATTTAAATGTTTCTCCAATTATAGCAGTTGTTAAATATTCTGTTTCTTCTCAGTAGTTATACAAATTACTAACTAATTTTCTGTACATCACAATTCACAGTTAATTGGACAGTAAACAGTTTGAGGTACAATTTTTCAATTTTTAAACAATTAAGACGTGCACTTTGAATGAAAATAATTTGCCAGATGCATAAAGCATCAAAATAGATCTTGTTTATCCAAAAAAAAAAAAAAAAATTCCGACTGGGAGAACCCCCCCAACAGAGGTGCAGGCTAAGCTGCATATTTTTTTACACCCTGATGGTAAATTGAGTCCACATACAGTATGTGTACATGATTAAATGTACGGGTAAGTAGGCACATGGCATCATAATCTCACTCTAACCAAGTACCCAAAGTCGGCAGCCCTGCAGGATATAACTTCATAAACCTGAGGCTAGTTTCCTTGATTAATATTTAATAAATCACAGTTATGGCTGGACGAACTGTCGAGGTTTTTGTTAACTAAGCTATGCAAGGCCTAGTTTTGATCTTGGTAGGTTTAATGATGATCTTTCCCAGTGATTTGATCAAATTGTTGTAAATATGAAAGTATGTCATACAGTGTTCATGTCTACATTAAAGCCTGTTAGTTACTCATGCATATACTCTGCTGTTTTCAGGTTGAATGGCTGAAAAATGAAGAACTTCTGAACTCTGATGGTGCTGTTGATACAAGAGGTGACCACAATCTGATCATCTCAGAAGCCCGTCTCTCTGATTCCGGAAACTATACCTGTGTTGCCAGCAACATTGTGGCAAAAAGACGCAGTGCCACAGCCACTGTTGTAGTCTATGGTAAGAACTTCAGATTTATATTTTCTTATTTGTCTAAAGTTAGATCTCAGCTAAAAACACGTGACTGTCGAATTCTTTAGATTTGCAGTACAGATGATCAAAACAATGTCAAACAGCTTTCCTGTCTGCATCAAAATATCAATTTTCACTACAAAAGTAGGCTGTCAAATTGGCACCTCAAGCAAATTCCCCAAAGTCATTAATATAAAAAGCACTGCTCAACCGCAGCGTGTGGTCTTTTTTTTCACACAAGAGTCTATTGAGCAGGTAATGGGCAAGTGATCCCTCAAGTGTAAAAACAAGAAGACACAGGCACAATATTTACAAGAACTCAATTATTGATGGTGGAAAGGCAATGACGTGGGCTGTCACAACTCCCCGGCTTTTATCTGCCAGTGCTGAACACCTTGCGCGGAACGCTTTGTATAGCTGCAGGCCAGCAGACAGTGTTTCCAGCATTTTTATAGCCCTGTAGAGAGCTCTGCGGAGACAAAGGAGAATAAGTGAAATTATAATGTCATACGAGCACCACCTCCTTTCACACCAGAGGAATACCTTGTTAATTGGAGTGTTTCTGTGCTCACTTTACTGACCTTTCCTCCTGTTATTTTTATGTTTTTAGGGGAGGACACTTAGCTGCAGCAGGATTTGATCTAATTCTTTCTGACAGCCCGTTGTTGAGGCCCATCAATCATTAATTTTCTTAATGCTAATGAAGTCTAGACAGGCTTACTACTCCCAATAGCGTCTGACAGATGTACAATGGTTGAATAATAGTATTTCTTCCTGTTGTATGACAGCAAATGAGCTGATTAGTCAATCATCCTGCAATATTTTAGGCAACAACTCAAAGAAGGAAGAAGACAGAGGGGAAGTCACCATTGATCATCTTTGTAAAGACACCTCAGTCACTTTTCCTGATAAGACGTTCATTGTCACTTTTGAGTGAACCCCTGTTTTTCATGACAGAAACTATAATAGAAAGTAGGCCAGCTTCCATTCTTGCAATATCTGTTGATCACTTTCCTTTCATCCTTTGGCACCCTCAGTGAATGGAGGCTGGTCGTCGTGGACAGACTGGTCTCCCTGTAATGTACGCTGTGGTCGCGGTGTGCAGAAACGTTCTCGCACTTGCACAAATCCAGCTCCTCTCAATGGGGGAGCCTTCTGTGAGGGCATGTCGGTACAGAAGAGCACCTGCAACACACTGTGCCCAGGTGAGCACAAGGACACATTCTTCGTGCTGTCAGTGTTTGTGCATATGCTGAAAAACTTGCTTTTCCACTACTATAAAAGTCTTTGCACTAAAAATTGCCTGTTACAGTTATATATCACTTATTGCACATCAGTTTTGTGCATGTGTTTACATACATACATGCATGCATAATACATAACCCTGTATCTGCCTTGTACATTAAATAGGCAGGATGTTCTCATGCATTTCATGTATGTATACCTATGAAAAATAATGTGCTGATGGGTGTAAAGAAGGAAGTAAAGAGCGAATGTCCACATAAGTAAATAAATTGTTGGATGGGTCTAAGAAACACAGGACTTTCCCAAAGGTGACTGGTGTTCAGGACTGTGTGAAACCAAATGAATTTTGAGTGACTTTCAGGAACATTGTCACCATGTGTCTTCCCTAAACCTAACCAGTGTAACTTTATGTGAACTATCTGACTTTACATCAAGTACATAACATTTTTTTACTGGGAGTTACATGCTGGGACTATTTCTTGACGGGACACAGTGACTTTCTGCAGTCTTGTCATCACCATTTCTGTGGCTGACCAGGATATAATGTGGTTCACGACCCCACGTAAAACCACAAATTGTTGTTTTTACACTTCAACCTTTGTACAGATTTAACAAACAAGATGTACCATATTAACCAAAAGGGCACTCAAAGAGCTCTGACCTTAGTGAAGACAGAATTCCCTATCTCGCAATGTTGAGGATGCGATATACAACATTTAGCACATTAATGTAGTAGAAAACTGTTATTATCTATGTCCCCACTGGGTAGCTAATCGCCACAGCTCTGCACTGCACACCACCGCGTGATCAAACCCCACCGCCGACTAGGGTTTTAATACTGCAGAGCGACACAGACACGCCACCACACGAGTGTAAATGCTTGCAATGTTGTAGGCCAACAGTGTAGGCTCTGTGTAGAGCAGAATTCCGCCTTAAGGCCCAACCTTCACTGTGCCCCCACCAGGTTACCCTGGTGACAGTGAGCTAACCCTCACTAACACTGTTGATCACACACCTCCATGTTTGCTTGTGACATCCAAGGTGAGAGCCGTGTGCAATCCTGGCCCAGACTATGAATGTTGCACACTGCAAAAAAAATTTTTTAAAAAATATGTACCTGCCCCATGATTTAGATCTGCTTTAATATTTAATTTATTTGGTCTATGCTGCACTTTTTCAAATTAGTAGTTGTTTTTCTGTAATCCTGCTAACAAATTGACAAACAAATGCTGAATACATGATTTTCTCAGTGTAGGTAATAAGTGAGATTTAGGGTTGCTGGTAAGCAGCTTTTGTCTACCTTTGGAAAGAGCCAGGCTAGCATTTCCCCCTGCTTTTAGTCTTCGTGCTAAGTTAAGTTAACCATCTGCTGGCACCAGTTTGATATTTAACCGACTAACACTTGGCAAGAAAGCAAATAAGTGTTCAAAGAACTGAAGACACTCCATGCACAGCCGTGCCTCTCTCCTGGGTGCCAGCCGGTGAAGGATAAACCACAGAGAACCAAAAGGAAGTCAAAGTTCCAGTGCCAACAGGATACTCAGGTTAACACCTGTTTTATTGACAGGTTACTTTGCAAACAAAACCCTTTTTTGTCTTTAAAGGGCCAGTGTGTAATATTTGGCATGGTTTATTGTCAAATCTGAATCTGAATATTCTTATTATTCTTATATAAGTGTATAATCGCTATAAAATAAAATTTGTTTGGTTTTCGTAGCCTTATAATTATGCTTTTATATATATATATATATATATATATATATGTATAGCAAGGGCCTTGCTTTAGAGAGGTCGCCATCTTGCGGCGCCATGTATGTACAGCAGCCCGAGTGGACAATCCAGCCAGCCAGAGAACGCGTTTTGCATGTATAAATAAAGACAGCGGAAGGAAGGAAGAAGGAGGAGGAAACAGCAGAGTGTTAGTAGTTCGTCGATGGAGAGTAGTGAAAAGTTTTTTTAGTTATAAAGTTTGCAAATGGACCACACTTACCACGCAACAGGAGAGAATGAACCCGAACCGTCATCTGCGAGGAAAAGAAGACAAAACTTCACTCCTTGTGATGCACTCTCTGCGGCACTTTTCCTCCTGATCATATATCTCCCCAACGATGGTAGCAGTAGCACCGAATCCCATTCTGTGCAGCAGAATGGGAGCGGAGGATTCAGCCTCTCTTCTTGCCCACTCAGCATCCAAGTTCCTCATCTGTATGCTCCGGCTCAAACAGGTATGGCTCTGGGTCTGTGTCCACTACAAGAAACTCTTCAAAATCGCGTTCAAAGTCGTCCATTGCAGCTACTATAGTCCGGAGATATTGCTAGGTTAAATAAACAGCTGAGCTCTGTTTACCGGCTACGCTGTCAGTCAGTGTGCGGGCTGGAGATTGGTGGAGCAGAGAGGGGAGGGGGTACCCGCTAGGTAATGTAAACGAGTATGTGTGTGAACTGTGTGTGTTACGCTAGAAGAGTCAGAGTTTGGGACAGAGTCTTTTACCCCCTGGAGTGTTACCGGAGTTTTTGGAGTGCTTAAATAAACTGGCCTTTTTCCCGAACGCTCCTCTGGTCTCCTGCTCGTGAGGGATCCATTACAATATCGTAACATGGTTTAGATTTCTAAATAAACATTTACCTCGTCACTAGATAGAGCTACTCCTGAAAAACTCGTGTCTGCGCAAGGCTTTTTGTCCCTATGAGGCCACCGTCATTTACCCAACGGGAGGGGTGAGCGAGTGAGCCCTGCAATCTAGAATTTGACCACTGATGTCACTGTTTTCAACCCATTTTACACACTGGCCCTTTAATGTAAGTTGTCAAAGTGTTAACCTGAGTACCCTAGTGTACACTGGAACTTGGATTTCCTTTTGGTTCAAAGCAAATAAGTGTACTTCCTAAAACGTAAAAGCATTCAGTTAAAAAGACTACAAATGTAACAAAAATGGTCTCTGTCATCGATTGCTGAAGAGAGTAAAGTGCTTCTGTAAGTTGATTTTATTACCTATAATTAACAGAGGATGCTGCCGGTGTCAGAGGTAGGGAATCAGTCTAAAAGCCTGAGGTAAGCCTCGCAGTCAGCAGCAACCAGTTACAATTCACAGTGAAGGCATTGCACGTCTGCAGTGCTGATAGTGACAGTGGTTTGCATCTGAAATCTAATGCAGTGGACCTTAAAAAACAGCAAATGAAGAGAAAATGCATGGGAAATGGAGAGAGGAGTGAAAAAAGAAAGGGATACAGAGAACCTGTGAGAGAGAAACAAACAGCAGAAGCTTAGGGTGTGAGAAGAGGGGCAGAGCTGCAGTTCCAGTTATCAAAACTTCCATGTAATCTGCTCTGCCCAAGTGTTTTGTTTTTTTTTTCCAAGACAAGCTCAAATTTATGATTTCAACCACAGCACCAACATAAAGGGAAATGCTCATCAGGTTTAAGAAAAAAAAGTTATCAGTGGAAGGCAGTGCACTCCTCCAAACATTATCTCCTCTTTGCCAACTGCCTCCTTCTGAAGGATTCTTTATCCCGCATCAGAGTTTTAACATAAACAGGGTGCATTTGCGTTTAGATTAGCAGGAAGAAGGGAACCTTTAGAGCATTTGGAGGTGGAAAGGAGACTTGATAGAGTACAGCATAAGCAGGGTGTCTTTGTGCTCCAAGTCAGCAAGGCGGCACAACATTTTGGCACCCTGAGGAGGAAAATGTTTTCGTGAAGTTAGTGGTGCAGCTGTTACCTTGAAAGTGTTTCCTCATAAACTCCCAGAGAACTAATAAATGAATCAAATTGGTTTGAATCTTTTATAAGAACTAAGGACATCCTTGTCATGTCAGTTAAAAACAAAAATCTGTGTTTTTCTTTATCTTCTTTAGTCATTTATGCTTTGTTTGTATGAGTGTTTTGTTCCCACATTGAAGGGATGACAGTGTATTTAAACAATGCATTCTGCACATCAAACCTTTGTATGCGCCTCCTCCATTTACTTAAACATTTGCATGTGATTCCCTCAGTGGATGGTGGCTGGGGAGAGTGGAGCGAGTGGTCAGTTTGCAGCTCAGACTGTGAGAGGCAACGCAGCAGAGAGTGCACTGCTCCGGAGCCCAAACACGGGGGTCGGCTGTGTGACGGGGTGGCGCTGGCCATGGTCAACTGCACCGGCGGCCTCTGCACACAGAGTGGGTAACATCACCATCATCATCATCACCCCCCCGCTTAACAATGAAACAAAAGATAGCTTTGCATCATTACTGTCAGTCCCATTGTGTTCAGGGGCTGTGTCATTATAGATTTACTGTTCATAATTTTTGGCAGTGTGGGGCTAGATCATGATCATCATTATAATCATGCTCATTACCAGCACCGTCATCCATCTTCATTATTCATCCTCTCCACTCTACATACATAACACACAGTGTGCATGGGCATGGATGCATCCACAAGTAGAAATGAAATCAACCAAGACTTGTAGCATTTAAAAGGTCAAAGAGAAACTCTCAAATTCTGATGTTTCTCTGTCTTTGCAGATCGAAAGTTGCTACATGATCCTAAGCCACAGGGTGAGTTTCTCCTCAGCTTCCATTACTTACTATAATGTTATTGTAAAGATATCACTGTCCACAACCATGGCCTGGAAGAATACTTGTGCAGTAATTTAGTTTATAAAATGACCAGACAGGACTTGATATTGATTGGCTGGAGGGAGTCAGGTAGCCTCAGTGCTCTTATTTAGTGTCATCATCACCTTTATAAATTACTTATTCTTGGGCTGCTTGTTCCAGCTGTTGCTAGGCTACACCGTTTACTATTTGCTGGAGCTGTAAAGTAACATACACCACACAAGTCTGCGGTTGATGAGGATAGTGCCAACACAGTGTTTCTATTGAGGACCCTGACACGCAGGACTTTTATCTGCAGGGTGAACTGGCAGTAAGTGAGAGAAATATGTGTGACTGGTGTTTGAGCCAAGCAAATCAGTAATATTACCCAAAGAGAGCACATTGCCACAAAATAGGAAACAATACTTATTTTGTGATGGCTGGAAAGCAGCCATGGTATAAAAGGGATAAATCACTCTGACAGCTGGGTTATGAAAACTAACACACTCTGCATGACTCATTGTGAATTCTCCCATACTTAGAATAAAGACGAGAGGTATTTCAGATGTTCTGACGGACAGGTAGCATACAATGTGTATGAATAATAAGTGGAAAATACAAGCATATATTTTTTTGAGTTCATTCATAGTATGTCGTTTAGCAGATAAGAAAAGAAATACATTTCTATTAAAAGCATTGGATTTCCAGGCTGGTTGTGATTTTGGTGTCACAGCTTAGACGTTTCTGACTGGTGGCTGCTATCTAATCGCAGCTGAAATGGTTAAGCAAGAGACTGTCATGATTCATGAGTGTTTTCTCCACCCTTGGCATCCATTTTCACTCCATTTACAGTAACATACTACATGTCGAATCATGTTACATGTTAATTGACTTAACGTTAATTAAAAAGAAATACCATTAACTCTGCTATTGTTAAAATAAACACAGTGGAGTTAAACTGCATTGTGTAGGTACAATAGTATGATAGGGGCAGTTTAACCCTCAATCATAAATACATATTTTTCCTCTTACCTGTGGAGCTATTTATCATTTAAGATTGTTTTTGTGTTTTGGTGTGTGTTGCAGAGAGATATTGGTCGTAGTGATGTCTGCCTTCTCTCCAGTATAATGGAACTAGGTGGCACTCTGTTTGTGGTGCTCAAAGCACCAAAAAAAAAAAAAACATCTGAAAAACTCAATAGCAATGTCTCTGCAGAAATCATGACCCAGTTAAGGATAATTCACAAACCTTGTTGTGAGCAGTTTCATGTAGGAACTGTTTTGTTTCTACCGAACTACACCCCCCAACCGTATGACCGCACTGAAGGAAGCGTGCATTTACTACTGGCTTACCTAACACCTCAGAGCTAGTTGAAGTTACAGCTCAGCCAAGGAGGACGCCATTAATCTCCACAGATTCTGGTGATGGGGCACAATATTGGTATCAGAAGCGTTCTGGTTTTCGTTTGTTTTCTGTAGTCCCAGTAGTATCATCCAATCTTGTTTAAATGGCAGGTTAACAGTCCATGTTGAGAGGCAGAGCCCATTGGCCAAAAAGCAATCTCAGAACCTGTCAACTACAGTGTGACGACAGTTTAACTTTTTACCAACCTCTCTTCCATGAGTAGATGCACACGTTCTTTTTTTTTAAGATTATATTTGGGGCTTTTATGCCTTTGTTTGACAAGACAGATTAAGCGTGAAAGGAAGGGAGAGAGGACAACATGCAGCAAAGGGCCACAGGTATGAACCCAACCCGCTGCGGCAAGGGCATCTGCTCCACCCACTTAGCTACTGAGCACCCCAGTGCACACTTTCTTCTTTGCAGTCATACGGTTGGTGGGTGTTAGGGAAAAAGAAAATAGTTCCAACATGAAACTGTTCACAACAAGGTGTGTAGGTCACCATGAGTTACTAAGTCATGAGGTCATTTTTGATAAGAGACATCGCTCTTGAGTGTTTTTTGATGTATTTTTTTGGTGCTTTGAGCACCACAAGCTGAGTGCCATCTAGTTCCATTATATTGGAGAGAGGGCAGACATCTCTACAGCCAATATCTCTAACACTCGTCAACTAGCATCAAAACTATCTGGACTGATAAATAGCAGGTAGAGGAAAAAATATGTATTTTGATTTTTGGCTCAATGTCCCTTTAATAACAGTAATGAATGATTAATTCTGTCAACTGAATCAACTGTCCCCAACTTCATTATGACCTCACCAGTGCCTTTATACTGTAAATTTCCACTAACACCATTATTTTTGAGTCCATCGGTATAAAATTTCAAGCCAAGCTGCCTGTGGTTTATGCATTATTGCCGTCTCGGATAATGGGCCATTTATGTGTTGATTGCTGCTGTGTAGGGTTCTACCTACTAAGCCACAGGCACATGTTCTCCTTACTTGTCCTTTAACACAGTTATGTATTTTTGTTTGTCAGAAATGGGAAAAAGAATGCAGTCAGGCTGCCAAAACTTCCCAAGCCCCCAATTAACCTGCTACTGTAGCTGTTAATGCCGCTTTGCATATTTTGTCAATTTCTCCTCATTTGAGCTTCAGGCTACTTAGAGGATTTCTCAGCATGTCCTGTTTCAGTGCAGATCTCATTATCTTTCAAGAACAAGCTAGCAGCCCCTTTATTTCCCACTCATTCTTTTTCTTTGTGGAGTTGGACGCTGCAGTACTGGTGGGACCAGATAGAGCATAATCATTGCCGATGAGCTAATTTAATGAATTGGTTTTGTCACATTATCCCAGTGGAACGCAGAGTGCCTCCAACGCCAGAGCCAAGCAGTGTTTGAAATGACAGTCAGGTGCTGGGTTGATTATAATCGCCTTCCTTCCGAGGTTCCTCATTAGTAGCTTTAACACTCCACGATGGAACAATGAAGCTGTGCATAAGGAGGCAGGGCAGACGAGGAATAGAAAACAAAAAAAAGGCACTAAAGTAGCTCGGAACCAAGGTAGACTTGCCTCCTATAAAAGACTTCCATATCTGTAACTCAGCCGATGTCCTACAGCAACGCAGATTTTCAGTTTATTCTGGGAGAAAATGTCTTCCAGCTTCCTAATTAAGCGTGGTAGACTTAAAAAGCAAAAGCACAAAAAAAAAAGACTTACTCAAAAATTTGTTTCTCTCTCTTACTCACTCTTTCTTTCCAAGGTGTGGAGAGCAGCAGTGATGTGGCCTTGTATTCAGGCCTTGCTGCGGGGGTGGTGACAGTGGTGCTGCTGATCATTGCTGTCACTCTTTACCGAAGGAGCCAGAGTGAGTACGGTGTTGATGTCATCGACTCCTCCGCCCTCACTGGGGGCTTTCAGTCCTTCAGCTTCAAGACCTCTCGACAAGGTGAGCCAGCGACTTTATATGTGTCTCACAAATCCGATTTGCACTCAAGATTGAGCCATAAAAGGCTACATCCCACTGTGAACATAGCCTTCCCACCACATAATGTATCCATAGTAGTAACATAAGAAAGCGGACAAAAGAGACTCTTAGTGTTACTTGTGGTTGAAATAATAGAGGGTAGATGGAAAAGACAGGAAAAGATGATGTGTTAGATAATGATATAGTATGTAATGGAAGTTTTATTAAGCTTCCTGTAATAGTCTCCATTTAAATCTAATAGAATTTAGGACATATCCTGAGGAGGACATCTTTGATATTTCACTCTGTACATTCAGAATATGCAGCATATCTTAGCTGTGTGGTGGCGTGTAGGAGAGTCTGGTGCCATGTTGGAGGATTTAATTAATTCATTAAGATATGCACGCTGTTTGACTCCGGTAGAATCACACTCAGCACACCCCATAAATTAAAGAGAGTAGAGTTGAAACACCTCTCATTCCTGCTGCTGTATGATAGCTCCAGGTTTTCAATAAACTAAAAAAGAACGACACCATACAGTAAATAGGCACAACAATTGTATGACAGTTTAATTTAGTGGTTTAATTTAGCTCAGTACAGGCTTTACTGTTTTGGTATGCATTTAAACTTATACTAGTTAATAAAGTTTTTATTCTGTATCAGGAATCCAAACAACTTTAGAAATACATAAAAGAGGTTTATGTGATTCTGAAGAGCCTCTTCACCACCTAAAGATACCAAACTTTTCTTTGCTCTTGACTTTGCAATAAGAGGTTGTTAAAACACAGTTACAAGCAAGTACTAAAATTGCTCTCCACCACCTAATTTGCATAAATACAGCCCCAGCTGTGCTGCTTCACCCACCTTTGCACAAGTGGGTTCATCTGGATTCTAGAAATGGACAAAAGCACACACACACAAGCACAACTGGCATTTGGATAACACATGCTGTGAAGATACAGCATTAAATGTGTTTGCTGAAATTAGAAATGGATTTAACAATTTACTTATTTTGAATATTGACTTTTTTATTAAAGGTCCAGGATACTGGCAGAAATGGAAAATTATTACCGATACCACTTTTTCCTTCCTGATTCCGATCCCTGAACCTTAGGTATCTGCCGATACCAAGTACCGATCCGATACCAGCGTGTAAAATAAAAATGGATGGGATATGAATTGTTGTATGTCTCAACTCCTAAAACTCTATGTAAAATATTAAGAAATAAATCCATAATAGTAGAATGAATGCCATTAAACTTTTTTTTTATTATTATCCAGTGTTGACACAGATCAAGACACAGGTTAAAGTGCAGCCACACAATTTGGTAAAAAAAAGAGATTTTAAAGGCTACAGTAGAATGCTTTTTAAATTCTGCTCCGTTTCCGTTTCATTTGCCTGTAGCATGCATATGCGTAATTAAGTGGTATCGGATTGGTCATAGGCTGTACTCGCCACATTTTAGGCAGTATTGGAGGCATTTCCGATACTGGTATCGTATCGGTACAACTCTAAAAATGATATAATGAAAATAAGCCTGAAAATAAGAATGTTGCATTTTTGTTACCTCAGAATGAGCCATTTATATCTACATAGGGAGTGGACCGTCATTCACAGAGTCCACCATATTGCACCGCCATGTTTCTACCACAGCCTAGATTGGACAAACCGAACTCGCGTTTTCGTGACCGGCCTCCAAAGTTAGCAGCCCTCTACGAAGAGCTGAACAGCGCCGAAATAAACCACAGATTTTTAATGTGAAACTGCTTTAGTCAGGGTTTTTCACTAGTATAATTTAGCTGTTCTATTTGTTCTGGAGAGCAACAGACCTCTGTGGATAATTAAGCTCCCTGAAAAAACCTCCTGAACATCCGGATCCTTAAGTAATCAGAGAAAAAAAGGTGAGCACACATTAGCAGTTGCTAGGCTACTGCCTGTATGCAACAAGCTAAACAGTGTCAAAGAAACACTAGTTTGTAACACAAAACTGCCCTTTTCAGTGTTTTTACCCGTTTTAATCACCAGGGGTCTCATTTATTAAACACTGGTAGGGTCCATACTAAAAATATACGAGCAGACAAAAGCTGAAAAATGGCATACAGGGGGAGATGGTGACACAGCGCTGATGAAATAATGACTGAAATTTAATGTGGTTACAACTGAAAGCTGCTTATTGAAAAGTTATGGCTCACTAGCACAAGCACAGATAACACTGCTGGACTGAATGTTTCTGATAAAGTGGATCTGTAAGTAACGTGTGATATGAGGCAAAGTTAAATATGTGAGAGGAAGGCATCATTATTCGTATAATAATTCCTCTCGCATTTAATTTCTACAGTCTGGCTTCAGTTCACCACCTTACCATCTGCGTCCCCAATTTCCCCGTCTCCAAAATGTTTGTATGCATAGGTCAGAGATAGCCCACAGGTGCACACATTCTCTGGTCAAGTTTGTTTTTATTGATCACAACTTTTGCGTGGGAAGTGGCATACTCCTCTGTCAGGCCTTATTATATACATATATGCGGTTATAAGTGAGACCCCAGGTCCATTTATTTCCGATGATGCAACTCCCTCTAAAAACCTCCTTAACAATGAACAATAAAGGAATCCTAAGGGTGAGACAGATGGAGCCTTCTGTCCGTTCATTTCATCCTGATGTGTGCACATTTCCTGAAAGCTTGTGGATATGGATGAAACAGAGCAATACTACAGAAGATCATGGAGGCAGTGTAGCATATTTCAAGCAAGATTCAACCATAGGAGATGACAGAGAAATTAAAATAACAACATAACTGAATTAATTGGCAATATAGTGAAAATAATGCTCCATCCACATGTTGGGATGTAACGTTATATGGCTGCACAGACCATCACCGCCTACAACACTGCCTCAGTTTAAAGGTATGATATAATGACCTCCTCCACTGTCTTGTTTGTTGTTTCGTGAAACTTTTGACACTGCCCTCTGTTGGCTGTATCTATGCCAACATAAAGAACACATGGAGTGTGAGGAGGCTTTTCGTCTACAACCGAATCACACTATTTCTATGAGGTCAATGTTTCAAAAGACCCTAAAATCCATCAAAAATCAATTTAACTCTGCACTTTTGCCTCGTAATACCATGAGATGGCATTATAATATAAATGAAGTGTCAGTCTCCTTCAAACATAGGATCTACACACAGATAAAGAAGGGAGACCAGACACAGGTCTCATTTTTCAGCTTGTCTCTGTAGGTGAATAAAAAATATACAGCACACACCCACACACACTTTCGCACTTTATGGAGACCACAGGATGCAAGATGTGGTTTTGAATCTTCATTGCACCTCATTTCCATTTCCAGTACTGTAAATGTACTCACATATTAATGTCATTGTATGTAAAATAAACTACAGAACATGTAAGCAAGCTGTACAGTTTTGTATTTATATGTATATATGTATGAATTATGCATACATTTCCTTGTATTGTGATATAACTACATCAATAATTAAACTGCTTTAGGGGCTAAAATGACTGGATTTAATTTTTCAGTGTGTTTACTTCAGCCTTCTGGAGATTCTTGCTGTCTGTGGTGTAGTGCACTAAATGTCCAATAACACAAACAGTGTTAAGCTTAATCTATAAAGCACACCATGCATTTATTACTTTATTGCAAACATCAGTATACCCCAAGCAATAAACGCGCACTGAAAACTTATGGTAACAAGCACATTTTGTGCTCTTAACAATTTTACAATTGAACTCTTATCTATTATTACTAAGATCTTCTTAGTACTGTCACTTCAGCAAAATATTAAACAAGAGGTGTATCATCAGGGTAGTGAGTCAGTTTGTGGCATTATTGGCTGTTCTGGGCATTTTCTTACATACTACAGAACTTCAATTAATTATTCATGATTTAAAATTAAAAATTTAATTTATTAGTGTTTTCATTTTTTACACCCGGCTCCCGGATGGAGCATTTGTGGCCCTGTGGTTCCAAACACAGAAACATCTGAGCTCAGAAACGTGGTGTGTTTTGCCCCACAGATTGAGGCATATTTTTACAAGGCTGGCATTATGGGTCGCCACAGCAGCAGCTCTCAGCAGGGCATAATAAAGTTCATTTTGATAACACAGCAGGAGCCAGGGAAAGCTTTAATCTTGGTCCCTGTTCTCCTTGATAGAGGGGCTAAAACAGCCCAACCTCCATAAAATCCAATATGCCCTCCCTTCCTTATACATTGCAGCCCGCTATACACTGCCACAGTAGTTACACAGTAATCATTTCATTTCAGTTCTTTTTCTGCAATCACGTCCTTGATCATGAGTCACTATGACAACAATTCGCCCTATTCCCAGCAAAATGAATCGGCAATGAGCATTCTTTTGCTCATTAAGAGAAACCACGCTGTTTACTTAACTGTGTCTTTCGTCATCATTTCATGCTCGCTGGAACAGCTGTCAACGAGTCATTAATCACAACAATATTTCACCTCACAATAATCACATTTATCTATAACTTTTTCTCTGTTTCTCTGTGTTTCTTGGTTGATCCACAAGGTACTGTCATTTGATTCCAGTACAACATACATGCAAATGGTCACAGTGTGTGACTGATTCAGTGCATCATTCTTTTCTTTTTAAATCACTATGACAACTAATTAAAGCATATTAATACACTGCAGCAGTTGTGATGTGCCAGTTGTCACTTTTAATTGAGACATTGTTGCAGTAAGGTGAAAGCCATTCCTGTTTCCATGGTGATGATATTATAGCAATAGTTAAAGGTGGATAAAGTTGTCATGACACATTTTAGGTTTTTTTATAGTTGTTGATGGAGGAAGTCTTGTTTATAGTGTCACTCTCTGCAAATGTAATTGTTGCTTAAGGATGTCTAATTGTTGACGATAAATATAATTTTCTCTTTGTGGGTTTTTTTTTTTTTTGTTTTTTTTTCAGCAAACCCCCTGCTTATTAATTCATCCATGCAACCTGATCTAACAGTGTCGCGTACCTACACCAGCCCCATGTGTTTCCAGGACTCTATTGACAAGGAGCTGATGGCCGAGCGCTCACTCCTTGACCCGCTGCCTGATCTCAAGGTTAAAGGTCAGAAAATAGAAGTGTTTTGAAATTCAGTTCCCATAGTTGCCAACTACTTTTGGAAAGGTGAGAATTACAGAGCAATGTGCAGTTCTGCTGCTGCAGTTTGAAGGATAATTTATCTTGCTTTGAACAGCCTTTGAAGCAATCTCAAAGAAAGCTGTTATACAAGGAAAAATGGTCATCACCTTAAAGGGCATCACCGACTGACCATGTGCGAAGCCACGTCCTCCTTAGTTACTGTTGCTGAGCCGGTCAAGCTTTTTATTCAAGCTTTTTATGCAGTTTACACATTTACCACTCCAAATTTGTGGTAGTTTTTGATTGAATGTGTTTGTGATTTCAGACAGAGGTAAACTAAAACAGGCTTTACATTTATATCCAGCAACAATCAGCTTTTGCTGGCTGAAATGATGCTGGCAAATTTTATCACCTGTAGCTAAATAATTATTTCAGTTAACATTAGCCTCACGAGCTGGTTGAGAATAGCATCTCCAATTTTAAGGCCTTATCTTATACCCAGTGCAAAGCACAGTGCAGTGCAATGCAATGCAACATTCATAGCTTGTTTCAGACTGATGCAGTTGTCATCTCCACAGCCAGCGCCCACAGTGTGTAAATAGTGACAGTAGTTTGTCCATGGGCATGTAGGTCTTAAAATGAGGTGTGGTCACATGCGTTGTCAGCACATTGCTTATTTGAGGCAGCAGAAAACAAACATCTGGTCTAAAGGAAACAGTGCAGTATTTTCCTGCTTTTAAAAGGGCGCATTATTCAGATAATGAGATGTGCCTTCATAGGCAGGTTCACAAGGCTTGTACACTCTGCTTGTTAGACACACAGGGACACGCATATGGGTTGCAGGGGAGTAAAATAATACATCATGAATGAGGAAAAGACTAATTACATTTTTCTAAAATGTGAACATAGCAGAGATCAGTACAGAGCTGCTATCTGACTCCCCATTAAGACAGACCTGCAGAGCCTAGTTTTCGTTGCTAAGCTAAGCTAATTGGACAACTGCTTTTGGGTCGGTTGATTGGTGAGTGATTGGGTTTTACAGAAACCAAACTGTATTTAATTTTTAGAGTAATCTAAAAAAAAAGTGCAATTTTCATACTGATACATCCGTGACTATATTAAGCAGAAACCTGTGAGGCTGGAAAAAAAAGCAACGTGGATGTGCTGAAAACTGCAGTTCCTTTAATGGCCACTTGAGGCTGGCTCCAAAAGTGAGTCAATCCCCATAAGCTCCCATGTGAAAATACCCAACTTTACAGCAGAAATAAACATGTTTGCAGCCCAGTACAAGAGGTTTCAGCCTCTACAGCTAATTCACCCATTCATGACAACTGTATGGGGGTGGTGAATTTTTATATAACTCACCCATTTGCATTTTTTGAGGCCCTAAAGTTGCACATAGTTAAGGGTGAGGTTGCTTTGAGTGAAAGACTGTCTGCAAGGTGTCAACACAGTCTATGAGTCAGATCCACCCCTCGCTCTTCCACAGCTCCACCCATTAATTGCCAAACTTGAGGCTTTAAATCTGAGTCCACAAAACAGTGGGTGATGTCTTGCTGGCTATGTCCATTATTTTTATACATTCCATGGTCTACATTGCTGTTGAAGTTCAAAAACTGACCATATTCCTGTCTTTTCCTCTTGGTCTGATGTTTATGATCTGAGTTTATTTACCTGCAACAAACAATAAAGTCACTTTTATGTCATTGTATTTGTAGGGGTGGCAGAGAGGGCAGAGTACCATGTCATGTCCCACCCTCAGACATTTCCAAGGGGCCTGGCTCCAGACTACAGAGGGGTTGCAGTAGGGACGACGCTGGGCAGAAGAGGCAAGAATCTCTTCCCTCCACAAGTCTCTTTGACTCCCAGTAGGCCTCTCCACAAAGCAACTGCTGTGTTTGGTCATGCTGGAGGCAGGCTGGTAGTACCTAACACAGGTGAGCCCAGTGTGGGGAAATTCCATTTGACACGTTCCTGTGTGTAAACTGAAAATCCTTCAACATTAAACTAGAAATGGCAGAGAAGCTGAAATCTATAACTTACGACTTTGGAACTACAGCAAAGCTGATACAGGGAATCTGGTATTGCATTTTGAAGTTGTTTGACCTTGTCAGTGTTGGTCTGCAGGGAATATGTGAAAATGTCTTGGATCGAGCAAGTAACATGAACATGAATATATTATTTACTGAAGTGATGGAGGTAGACAGCATTGGCATTTTTAGCCGACCGGTGTGTCCTGACAAACCCAATAAATATTTCTCAGTTTTTCCTAACCATAGCAAATGCATATTTTTTTGTGTTACACTTTATAAATTAATTTTAAATGTGTTTTCAGTATTTACATTTCAAAGAACACACTGTACACTATGAAGAAAATGTACACATGTCTATGTAATATAAACCTGTGATGCTCAGTCTGCCACATTATTCAAGCAGCTCTTTCTGGTGGCCTACATTCATCATCCAGTCCCTTGAGGGTCTTTATCAGACCCTGTAGATTGGCAGTAATTGTTTATCATACAGTAAAATATCGCGCATATGTGTGCATCTAAGAAACAGTCTGTGCGTGTTTTTGTGACAAAGAGACTGCTGGCAGCATTGATTTACAAGACCTATGGGACTTGCTTCCGTCACCTTTTCCTGGTGCCATCACCTCTCTGGCTGTCACCTGTAGTAAAGAGACCTGACAGCCAGGCAGGTGTGTGCATGTTGTGTGTGTGCATGTCATGTATTTTGATCAGTTTTTGCATTCCTGCTTCTCTGCAGGTATCAGTCTGCTGGTGCCTCACGGGGGGATCGCAGAAGACACTACCTGGGAAATGTACATGATCATCAACCAGGAGGACAGCAGGTGAGGGACTCTCACTGAGGCGGTGCAGTCTGCTTCATAGGCTGCTCTCTTTTAATCTTTCAGCCCGTCACACCGCATCTCTCATCCCTCTTCCTGCCACGTCGTCCCCTCCTCTCTTTGCTGAACATGCACCACAACAGACACACACAGATCCTCTCATACGGAGAATGCGCAGCCCGGTGTACTGTACACATACACATATACAGATACATATTCCCACACAGCATGGGGTTCTTGCTCATCTTGCAGTCACTACAGGGGAGGACATGATGTGTCACAAATACATTGGCAGCTGCAGACAGATTGCATTACTGCCTTAAGCAACTGTCTCAGCAGAGAAAGATACACTCCATGGCTCCAGTGGCCTGTTTTATGTTTGTAGACATAACGGTGACAATATCTCTCCCCATCATGACTGGTTTGAGTGGTGAATATTGTGAACTCTGTGATGATAGATGATATTGATTAGGTTTTTGGCTCCATGGAACGCGATATGCTATAAAGTTTAGATGACTGTTGCCTACCAGCAAGAGTCTATTTCTGTAGCTTTGCCGTCAGAATTTTCACAAAGCTATTACTTGAGGAGGAAATGGCATGAGAGATAAGAACCGTTTGAAAGGGGGTGTAATAACTTTGACTTCTTTGCAAGAGTCTCAAAAGGTATCTGACAACCACAAGTCAGTTTTTTGGACAAGTACTTGATTTATAGCAGACAGTATCAATGTGTCAGCATGTCTGTGTGAAACCTTGCTAACAAGATATCACCAGTAACAACACAGCTAACCGCCTGTGCTTCTCAATGAAATTCGATTTGTACATCTGAGGGAGAATCAAAAGTGACATTTAGTGCCATCTGAAATCCAACTGTCATCTCACCTCCACCTCCCCCCGCCCATTAAGTGCCAAGGGTCATCTGGGTAAAGATACAGATCAAAGGTCACTTAGGCATAGGTTGTGGCTCAGAGCTGAATTAGTGGGCTGGTTATACACTGCCCAGCCTGAAGTCTCCCTCAATTCAGCCAAGCTGCTGCCCTCCAGGCTCCTGCTTTGCTCTGATAAGCCTGATGCTGTTTACTTCTCTGGCTGCTGTTTAAGAAGCTGCAGGAGCCGTGCACCACTGAGCTGTCAGTCAAAGCCTATCTTCTGACAGCCGCAGAGTCCAGGGGAGAAATTGGATCCTTTCTTCCCATTCAAACTCGGCCATCTACATAAGACGGCGCTTTCCTCTGCAAAGAATAGGAATCGATCAGCTCTGGCTCGGTTTCAGGTGTTCGCAAGAGCTTTCGTTCGTCCTCTGGGCTTTACAAGGTTGTTTTGTGTGTGATCTTCTCCAGCTCAGCAGGGGACAGTGGGTAGTCCAAGGACAGAATCATAGTGTGACCAAAAAAAATGCCTGATATGGTGTGACTCACACAACTTTGAGTCAACAAGTTGAGCCATATCCGCCCTGTTTTTTTTATCATACATTGCAGGGGGGCATCTATTACTCTGTAGTGTCAATCATAATTGCCTCATACTAGACTCTCATTTAACTTTTTGGTTTGTGGTTGTTTTTGATGTTATGTTATTTGTACTGTTATGTCAGTTTCAACTGAGTTGACCAACTTTATTTAGCACTAATACTTTATTAAGCCTCTTGAACCCAGATATTTTCTGTAAACCCAGCACTGACATATTATCACCTCACAGTTCTTGTCGATGACGTGTAAGTAAATAGTGCCTGTTGACACATCCAGCAGACACAGAGCAGCATTAACATTATTTGGACTGACTCCTAAGGGAAATACATTTAGCTTTAACTAAATGCTTCAATATGGTCCCCAGCTAGTCGCTACCTTTGTCTGTCTGCCATTTGATATTGGGCAGGTAGTGTGCAGTGGCTTTTTAGAGCTTTATGGCTGAAAACAGCTGCGTGCTGCTCCTGAATTTGACGCTGATGAGAGCAGAGAGAGTGTACCAAAACAGTAAAGTTTCGAACTGTAAAATCAAAGCAATTCATTAAAACACATTAAAGGAAAACTTCAACCCCCAAAATAACTATTTGTATATCAAATACACACCATGTCACGTTGAATTTGTGAAGGAAACTTTGTTTTCCTTGCATACCTCTGAGGTGATCAAAGAATCCAAAAATGAAGAAAATTCTTGATGAATTGAAGTCATAAGGGTCCATCTTTAACAACAGCAGAAAGACATCAAAAAATCAATTTACAAACTCTCACACAGCTTGTGTAGTATAATCCTAGTCTCATTTATCCAGTTATAGGTCCAGTGCTTCTGAAACAGACAGCCCTTTTTGATAGTGAACTGAGCTAGAAGTGAAACTTATCTTTGCTCTCTTCAAAACCAGTCTCCACTTACAAAAACAGTAATTTTACCTTGCTGAGCACGAGAGCTGCTGGTCTTCCACTGCCTCCATCAAATTGTTTGCATTACTGTGTGATTTTGGTGAATCCCAACTAATCCTTTAAAGCCACAGTGTGTAGGAATTTCTCCCATCTAACGTTGAAATCATATATTGTATTCAAACAGATGGCGCCTCACTGTTTCAAACACGTATTGCAACAACTGTAGCTGCTGTGTACGAAAAAGCTTTCAATCAATCAGTCAATCAATTTTATTTATAAAGCCCAATATCACAAATCACAATTTGCCTCACAGGGCTTTACAGCATACGACATCCCTCTGTCCTTAAGACCCTCACAGCAGATAAGGAAAAACTCCCCCCAAAAAAACCCCTTTAACGGGGAAAAAAAACAGTAGAAACCTCAGGAAGAGCAGCTGAGGAGGGATCCCTCTTCCAGGACGGACAGACGTGCAATAGATGTCGTACAGAACAGATCAGCATAATAAATTAACAGTAATCCATATGACACAATGAGACAGAGAGAGAGAGAGAGAGAGAGAGAGAGAGAGAGATGCAGGTAATGACAGTGGCTTACAACAACATTAATGAAAGTAATAATATTATAGTTATAGTTCTGGCTACTGTGGTACAATATGTTTAAAGTATGTATTAATATCTGACAGTATACTTGTGTGACAATAGTCATATGTGTATAATAACAGTAGAAGTATGACTAATGACTAAT